TTTTGACAGGAATGTCTTTAAGGTAGCTTTCACGTCCTTATTCCTCAAGCTGTAGATCAGAGGATTCAGCATAGGGATCACTAGTGTATAAAACACTGAAGCCATTTTATCAGAATCTAAGGAATGGTCAGATTTAGGCTTCAAATACATGAAGAGAAGTGTCCCATAGAACATTGTGACCACCATGATGTGGGAAGCACAGGTGGAAAAGGCTTTCTTCCTTCCTTCTGATGAATGTATCCTGAGAATGGCCAAGAAGATGTTGAAATAAGATACTAGAACTACAACCATGGAGAGAACCAAATTTGTAGCAGCAGAAATAAAGACTATTGTTTCTGGGAAGTAAGTATCAGAGCAGGACAAGGCTAACAAGGGAATAACGTCACAGTAAAAGTGATTGATAACATTGGGGGAACAATAAGACATAGAGAAGGCACAAGATGAAACCACAATGGCTGTAGAAAACCCATAGATGTATACAAAGGATACTAGCAGAAGACAGATCTGTCGAGACACCACCGCCATGTAGAGTAGGGGGTTACAAATGGCCACATAGCGGTCATAGGCCATTGCGGCCAGCATAGAAATCTCAGCTACGATGAAAACTAAGAATCCACCAAGTTGAGCTGCACAACAGTAGTAGCAGATGATTTTCTTCCTAATGAGGAAGTTGACCAGCATTTTAGGGGTGACAACAGTAGAATTACCAAGATTGATGATAGCCAGGTGTCGGAGGAAAAAATACATGGGGGTTTGAAGTCGTGAGTCCACACTGGTCAGGGTGATGATGGTCAGGTTCCCTGTCACGGTCACCACATAGATCACCAGGAAGACAAAGAAAAGGGGAACCTGGAGCTCCGGACAGTCTGAGATCCCCGTGAGAATGAATTCAGTCACCTGGGTGAGATTTTCAGGAGCCATGTTTATGACTTCATCTGTCTGGAGAATAAAAGGAAAAGCGCTTACAGATTTTAAGGAATTATACTGTAGAAATGCCATTACATGGCAAAGACAATGTCTTGTGTGAAATTTTCCTTTACCTTACATCATTCTGAGTCAGTTATTGAACTGAAGTCCCTAGATCTGATAAAAAACAATCCATGATTTTTTAAAACTTTACTATGGATCACAATCTTAAAATTACCCTATACTTTTTCACAATCATTTGGGAGAAAGTATACGTATGGTAAATTAAGAAAGAGTTTACCCAGCTTCATGCACTATTTTGAGGATGTCTACTTCCTCACATAGGAGCTCTGGTAGCATAGTGGCTAAGGCACTTGACTGCTAACCAGAAGGCTGGTTGTTAAAACCCACCAGCCACTCCTTGGAAGGAAGGTTGGGCAATCTACTTACATAGCGACACCGCCTTGGAAACCCAAGGAAGGGTCGCTATGAGTTGGGTCCAACTCGATGGCACTTCTTAACAGCAACAACAACAATACTTTCTCACATTGTTATGAAAATATGAATTTTTACTCATTTTCAAACATCTGAAATGATGATTAATATCTTAGGTTTATCTCATTGTTTATGAAAAAGGCTTGAGAAACAGTTCCAAAATAGTTTCATGGATGTCTGTGATTTTAATCTTTTATTGCTGTTAAGAAAAAACAAGCATAGCCACCACCCTGCCCCATCTTGTTAGTCTCCCCTTTTGTGACTTTAATCAGATTTATTTGAACTTTCTAATCTATCATGTAGAGGTGTGCAATGTTCTTTCTCACTTTATATTTCATTACTTCTGAGAACAATATACCGAGATACATCTTCGGATTTGTTTTCAGGACACTGGATAATCTCTCGTGTTTTGTTTTAAAATTATATATATCAATATATATATGTATATATTTAAATAACTTCCATAAATGTGTTGCATTGTCATTGACCATGTATTATTACCTTTTCTTCTCTTTCATGACTCTTCTTGCTCTCAAGTTTATGCAGTTTTTTCCTATTTTTCCCATTGTGTTTTTATTTTGACTTACTATTTTTATGTAGTTATTAGAAATAAAAATGCAGTAGAACTATTATGAAAAATTGAGTAAACTTAATTTTTAGTATTTTGATTGTTTCTCATGTGATGTATTTTCCGTAAGAGCAGCATATATAGCATAATATAGATTCATGCTCTCCTAGAGTTTTATATTTCAAGGATGGTTCCTCTGTCCCTAACAAAGCAAATCTGAGTCTCTTCCCTGTCACAATTGATAATATGAGTAGTAGAAACCTGGCCCAACAGAGTCCCGCTATGATCCATCTAAAGGTTTGGACTTAGGATCTAGAAAGTCAAAGGTATATTATCATGGGTCTTGAACTGTAAAATCCCAGAACTGTTGAGAGTAGTATCTTTCTTGACTCTGCTCCTTTCTCTTTATTTTCACACCATGTAGACAATGAAAGTGAAAGAAAACAGAAATTGGTTCTGAATTAAGAAATATAAAGGAAAAAGCCATGTAAAAGTCACGGAAATAAGACCAAAATAAATCATCAGGTTTTTAAGTGTCTGATGCATGTTTGTTTCTTATACC